CTCTGTAAATTCAGAGGTTTACATTAAATCCACTGTAAGTATTTTAAGAGTAGAAGTGCATTCAGTAGGTGTGTAAATCTTAAATGTACAGCTGAGTGTATGTCCCCTTGGGTGTAACCATCATCCAGGTCGCATATTATGTCCACTTGTTGTATTTAAGAATAGTTTCAGGCTCAGGGAATCATTGTGAAGATGGTGCAGACTTGCCTGTGTACCCCACATTTAGCATCCTCTATGTATTTATTCAGGGTTCTCCAGAGGAAGAGAACAAATAGGAAAGACAGACAGACATCTGTTTATCAATCAGTGGATGAATAGGTAGATAGAGAAAAAGACAGATATCCTGTGGGGGAGAGGATCATGGGTACCAAGCACAGTTAGACGGAATAAAAGGAACGAGTTCTGATGTTCTGCAGCGCATTGGCGAGGCTTTAGCTCATGCTAACCCGCCATAAAGTCTAAGAAGATCCAACATAAAGAGATGAGGAGTAGCTGGGCGCAGGGTACACTCCTGTAATCCCAGCAACTTAGGAGGCTGAGATAAAAGGATTGCAAATTCAAGACCAGCCTCAGCAACTTATGAGGCCCTCAGCAATTTAGTGAGACCCTGGCTCAAAATAAAAAATAAAATGGCCTGGGGATGTGGCTCAGTGGCTAAGTACCCTGTGTGCAATCCCTGATAGAAAAAGAGGAGAAAAAGAAATGAGGAGAGGAAAAACAATGTTAGACTGATTTAATCAGTGTGTGCCATATGCATTTGTGGAAATATCATGCTGAAATCCATTAATATGTTAATAAATACATGACAATCAAACAAAATAATTTGTATAAAAAAGGTTAGCTGGGCTGGGGTTGTGGCTCAGTGGCAGGGCACTTGCCTAGCATGTGTGAGACACTGGGTTCAATCCCCAGCACCACATAAAAATAAACAAATAAATAAAGATATTGTGTCCATGTACAATTTAAAAATATTAAAAAAAAAAAGTTAGCTGCCTGCTCTTCAGCTGACTCCTGTAGCCCTTTGTCCTCCCCGACACTGGGATTTGTATTTGTTTCTTTTAGCACTTTCTTATTTCCTGGTCTTGCTAGACACTCCAGGCTCCAGGCTCCTCTTCTGTATTTCCCACCATTTTTACTGGGGTTCATATTTCTGGAGAATGGTATTAGAAACCAAGGTCTGGCCACAGCCCAAGTTGCTTGTTGCTTCTGGGCTGGGGGTGTGCTTGCATCCGCACCTTCTCAGCTGATGGAGTGAGGAGACGTGGGTGTGTATACTACCCCGTTTATATATTCATGAAGATTTCTGAATGAAAGCCACTGGATCTATATTAAGCTACACGGGAGTTCACACGATGCCTCCAACCCCGATCCATTTCACATGGATCCTTCGAGCCTCTCCCCTTGCTTATCTGTAGCTTTTCATGCCAATGGGAGAAACCTGACCCCCACCACCCAGCTTCTATTCGCTGGGTTGTTCAACACCTGCGCACATGTGTACTGGTCTCAGCATCGTTGAGCCACAGGCCTGCAAATAACATTGTGTCAGCGAAACCCCCGTGCGCAGGTGCAGTTCCTCCTCCTTCAGCCTCCCAGATTCCACTCATTTCCAGGCCAGCCCCTGTTCCCCACCTGCCTTGGTGAGGTTCCCTTGTACATTTATGATTATTTGGTCATACTCCATACTGCACCCTGGGGTCCACCGACCTCCTAGATGATTCTTTACCATTCGCATGTATTAGAGTTCACTCACTGACAGATGCTTACTGGCTTCTCTTAACCATTACAGTCCCATATGCAATCGTTTCCCTCCCTTAAAAAAAATGCCCTGACTTTTACTTATTCAATGGCACCTCCCCACTCCAGCTGGCAACCAGTGATCTGTTAACGTTCTGTACAATTTTCCCTTTTCCAGGATGTTCTACGATTGGAACCTTACAGTATGTGGCTTTATCAAACTGACTTCTCTCACTTACTATACATATTTAAGAGGTATGGGGCTGAGGATGTCACTCAGTGGTAAAGTGCTTGCCTGAAATACATGAGGCTCTGGGTTCAAATCCAGACCCCCCCCCACACACACACAGAGAGATTTATCTATGTCTTTTTATGGTGAAAATGTGATTTCTTTTATGACTGAATAATAGTCCATTGTATGGTTATGTCACAGTTTATTTACCTGCTCATCCATCAAAGATGGGCTATAGTTTGAATCCTGCATGTCCTCCAAAGGTGTATGTGTAGAAGGCTTGGTCTCCAGCCTGTGGTGCCATTGGGAATTGGTGGAACCTTCAGGAGGTGGGGCCTGGTGGGGGAAGAGATGCATCACTAGCACCTCCTCTTCCTCTCTGGTCACTTCCCAGCCATCCTGAGGTAAAGCAGCCTCCTCTACCATGTAGAGGTGCCCAGTCACAATGTACTTCTTCAACACCAAGCAACCATGGACTAAACCTCTGAGACCATGAGACAAAAATGAATCTTTTCTCCCTCAAAGTTGATTTTCTCAGGTATTAGGTCATAGGATGTGAAGCTGACTAGCACAAAGGGCATCCAGGTTGCCTCCGGTTTTGGAGATTATAAAACTGCTACATACGTTCATATGTGGGGACATTCATTTCTCAGTTGGTTGGTTAATAAGCAGGCACACAATTGCTGGATGAGAGTAAGAATGTGTTTAATCTTGGAAGAAACCTCCGACTATCTTCCCAGGTGGCTGAAGATAAACAAGAGTTCCATGGCTTCGCGTCCTTGCCAGCTATTGGTGTGGTCAGACTCTGGACTTGGCCATTCTGACAAGTGTGCAGGGGTGTCTCCTGCTGCCCATCCATTCACTGTTCTATGAAACTTTTCAAACATTTAGTAAATTGAAATAGTTATTCAGAGATACAATGTTGGCCATTACTATAAAGTTTTAGATCATTGAAAAGGCCAACAAGCCCATATGCAGGCTGAACTGAGCCTGTGGACTCAAAAACAAATTTTTGTTGTCTTCGCTTCTGATTTGGAGGTTGTCATGCTGAACGTTTCCAAAAATGCAGGAGAGCGGCTGAGAGGAGAGGGGACCCCCTGAAGCCTTGGCCGGGAGCTTGCACTATCTCCCCCCAGGTGGACAGGGTCCTCTCCCTGGGACAGACCACAGATGTCACTTCCAACCTCCCTCAAGGATCTCTGCTCCTCCTGCCACATGGCCCAGCCTCTAAGCAGAGATATCTAGTACAAGGTTCCGCCCCACCTCACCTCCCAAGCAAAACTTATTTCCCAAATATGGGTGTTAAGGACTGAATGTCCCCTAAGTTCATATGCTAAAGCCCTACTCCCCAATGTGGCTATATTGGAAATGGGCCTCTAAGGAAGTAATTAAAGTCAAAGAGATCACAGAATAGAAATCTCATGTCTTTACAAGAAGAGACATCAGAGACCACTCTCTCTTTGCACCAAGAAAAGGTCATGTGAGGACAGAGTCTTCAGAAACCCAAAATGATGGTGGCCTAAAATTGAACTTTCAATCTCCAGAACTCTGAGAAAATAAATTTTTGTTGTTTAAACCACCCACTGGGTGGTATTTGGTTTTGTCTATGTATTTATCAGCCCGAACAGACTAATATGAAGGACAATGGAGAAAACAGGAAGGACTAAGGTCTGGAACTGGAATACACTTGGTCTTTCCCACAGGAGTTCCTCTTCACCCCTTGCCATAGCCATCTCCTGCAGAGAGCAGGCTCGGTGCACTGGTGGGCAGTGGAAGATCTTGGGTGACACATTAACAATTCTTAACAGTAATATAATTTGAATATGCATTAGAGAACTATAAAGAGCATATTGAGTACACGATTAAGTGGACATTTTTGTTTTTCCTTTTTGAGGTTTTTAAAAAGTACTTGATTTAAAGGAAATATCAACTAGATAGCAAGGCCCCCGAGGGAGTTTCATGATTGGCTGAAGCTAGGGAAGCTCGAGATGGGTGACAAGCTTGGCTTCCTCATGCTGTTATCTCTACTTCTCTTCCCACTTCCCAAGTAACACTCCAGGGAAAAAGTGACTTGTACTTTAATCACTCCGGCTCAGGCGCTGGAACCTCTGAACTTCAAACAGGGCAGTTCCTCCACTTGGAATGCCACCCTCAGTCTCTGCTCACACTTCCACCCAGCCAAACGCCATCTCCACTGGGAAGATTTCTGTGATGTCACTAAGCAGTCCCCTTTAAATTCCAATGCACCCACAGTGGTCTCCACTGTGGCCAGTCTTACTACAATGTGTGTCTTTGCTTCCTTAGGTCCCCCAAAATAGGAGATCCCAGAGGCAGGAGGCCGTAGCTAGTACATTTCTCTATCTTCATTCAGGACAAGAGGGCATGGAGAAGGAAGTCGGAAAATGTTTGCCAGATAGATGAAGGAACACATGTCCTGAGGATGAAGGAAATCTGCAGAGAAGGGGACATGAGGATACATAAGGCCAGAGAGGTCTGGGGAGGAGCTGGCTTAGTGGGTGCAGGAGGGTCTGAGATCTAGGTTTGGGAGGAGTAGGGTTTGAGAGGGAGGGAAAGGAAAAAGAGGAATAAAACAAGCGCCTTATAAATATCCATTTAATCTACACAACCGCCCTATACGGATGGGGAAACTGAGGCATGCTAAGGCAAGCAACTTGCCCAGAGGAAGCCGCCAGTGGACCGCAGTAGGTGTTCTTCTCCTCCTTCGGCCCAGAGCCTGGCACACGTAGGCATACCACGAAGGTAAATGCCAAGGAAGAGGCGCGGGGCCTCTGGGGTGCGGGTTGAGGGGCCTTTGAGGCAGCCCTTGGACCTAACAGCAGCCTGGACCTGAGGACTGACCAATCCCGGGAAGAGCCAAGAGAGGCGGCGTTGGTGAAGGACCCGTTGCCATGGGAACAAAAGAAGGCCTGAGGCGGGCGCATGCGCAGACCAGAGAACGGGTGCTGAACCGGTGAAAGGTGACGTAAAAGCGCGCGGGGTGGGGCGCAGGGCTCGGAACGTCAAAGCCCCGCGTCCTTCGGCACCCGGAGAGAAGGGAAGGCACGCGCGACGGCGACGACCGCAGCTCCGGCCGGACCGAGACCGGGCGGTGCGGAGCGGACACGCAAGGCGACGCGAGCAAGGCGGGAGGGCGGCGCCCGCGCCCGAGAAGACCCCCTCGGCACGAACCGCGGCTGCCGGGACCCCGGTCCCCGCTTCCGAGGCCCCGCCTCTCGGGTCTTGGGACTAATCGGATTGAGAGCGCGCCGGCCGGGGCCGCGAACTCGCCAATTGCGAAGGGCGGCAGCCACCGCCCAATCCGGAGCAGACAGGTGCGAGGTCCGGAAGGCACAAACCAATCGGCTGTAGTTGCGACCTGTGGGGGCAGGCCTCGGCCAATAAGGAGGCTCGAGTGACGTCTTTGAGCGCCAATAGGGAGTGACGGAGCTTGCGTGCCCGCCCACCCTTCCGGCCGGAGCTCTATTTACCAGGGGCGTGCAGCGCGTCTGCCAATCGGAGCGCGGCTGAGCGGCCCGGCAGCCAACCCCGGAGGAGCGGCCGGCTGGCGTCCGCCTCACCCAGGAGTTGGGGATGTCCTACAAACCCATCGCTCCCGCCCCCAGCAGCACCCCCGGCTCCAGCACCCCTGGGCCAGGCACCCCGGTACCTACAGGTGAGGATCCAGCTCCACCCCTGCTCGCCTACCGGTGCTGTCGAGGTCTTGAAGAGAAGACGGCCTGAGTTCTACAATACTGGGCCTGCCGCCTATAGCCTCGCTGAGCCTCAGTTTGCTAGCCTGTGAAGTGGGCGTGGTCACGTAAGGGCTTGTTGGTGGAGCGCAGGGGGAGGGGTGTGTTCCTGAAGTTGATCTGCCTGGAATGAAGCGTCCCTTTGGAGGGAATCGGGCGAACCCGGTCCGGGGTTTGGAAAGCTGGGAGGCGTCGTTCCTGTCCCCGCGCTGACCTCTTACTCGCACCTGTTGCAGCCGGAAGTGTTCCATCGCCATCGGGCTCAGTGCCAGGAGCCGCTGCCCCTTTCAGACCACTCTTTAATGACTTTGGACCTCCCTCCATGGGCTATGTGCAGGTGAGTGTGGCCAAATGCTTATTTATGGATGAGGACTGGAGGCCCACCCGGGGCCTGAGCTCACTGCCCTGTTCTCTTTTGACATAGGCGATGAAGCCACCTGGTGCCCAGGGCTCTCAGAGCACCTACACGGACCTGCTATCGGTCATAGAGGAGATGGGTAAAGAGATTCGGCCCACCTATGCTGGGAGCAAGAGCGCCATGGAGCGCCTGAAAAGAGGTAAGTGAGGCCAGGTCCACCCTGTCAAGACGGCAGTCACTGGACACTCCCTCATCGTTAGGGAAGGATCGACATCTGGAGTCAGTACAGGACACTTGAGCCAAGTATCACTAACCAGAGAGGTGTTTGAATTGAATTGAAATTGAGTCAATTTCTAGGAAAGTGCCTGGAAATTTGTGTTTCAACAGGGTTAATTTGAGGATTAGCCAAACCTGTAATCTCATCCAGCCCCTCCTTAGATTTAAGCTTCTCTGGCTGAAACAAAAGGGGGTGGGGAGGGAGGGGGTCTTCCGGAGGGTGGGGCTGGGCTGTGGGGAGCCACTGAGATCCTATATTTATCTCCGCATCCCCACTCATCCCACCCCAGGCATCATCCATGCCCGGGCCCTGGTCAGAGAGTGCCTGGCAGAGACAGAGAGAAACGCTCGCACGTAACAGGAAGCACCTTGGCCTCAGCGTCTGGACCTTTCCGGCCACTGCAGAGCACCTGCTTCTCCCTGGCCTTTGCCCCAAGTTGCACCTCCTATCCTGGGCTTCCTGTCTTGTCCCTTGGTGGGTGCCCTCCAGGAACCAGGGAGCGACTTTCACTCCAGTGGGCAATGCTAACTGGGCTCCTCCCCCTGCAAGAGTTAGCTGCCAGGTCACTGTGAGTCCCACCCACTACCTGCCAGCAGCAGTGTTGGTCCCACTGGAGCGTTCTCCTTTCTTGGCCCCTATTACTCTGCACTTACTTCTCACCACTTTGTCCCAGGCCTTCTCTTCCAGAAGGAGCTTAGAAGGCCTGTCACCTCCCTGCCTTGTCTCTGGGGCCATATTGACTCTTTTCTCAGTGTATCTTTTGCTAAATATGCCCTTTTTATATAAATAAAAAGATGATTTGGAGTTGTTCTCTCAGCTTAGCCTTTCTGGGTCTTGTTCCTCTGCTAAGCCTGGGTGGGCCAGGCAGAAGGAGGGCAAAGAGTGGTCCAGGAATGAGAAGGCTGACTGAAGCTGTCTTTGCCTGCCTCTGATGTCCACTGACCTTGGAGTGGGAACTGCCCCTCCAGGCCCTCTGCTTTCCCAGCTGTGAGTAGTGGAAAGGGCAGAGCTCCAGTAGCCTAGAGCCCTGCCTGCCTGCCTGCCTCTGTGCTGTGCCACCAGGGGGCAGCGGGGGGCCCTGGCTGCCTGCACAGCTGGAGGCACTGATGGCCAGAGGGCCCTTCCCCTGGATTGGCAGTGATGCCTGGCAGGGTGGAAATGCCAGTTCACTTAAGCCACTCCCTTACTTGCCTTAATGCCCTACCCCACCTCAACTCTGACTTGGACCTGGAAGACTGAATACACCCAGTCTGTGGCTCATCAGGCAGCATAATGCTTCCCTCCCCCTACACTTTGGCAGCAGAGTCAAGGGGAGAGACCTGACTAGGTGCTGCTATCCACTGCCCCAGTTCCTTTATCCAGGCTCAGTGTGGTCCTGTGAGCTAGCCCTCGGTGTCTCAGCCTTCCTCAGGGTCTAGGTGGCATGTTGGCTAGACTTGTGAACCCAGAAGCACAGGGGTGCCATTAAGGGACTGGCCCAGAGATTGACACAGCCTTCTGCCTGAATGTGTAGTTGAGTGACTTAGGGGCCTGAGGCCCTGGAACCCCAGCCCTAGGTGGAGTTAGAGCCACCAGCTTCTGCTTAGACCTTGCTGGGGAAGCATTTCCCCAACCGTGGGTCCCAAGTTCCAGAGGATGAGGAGCTGAGGAGGACGGGCCTGGGACCCAGACATATCAAAATCCACCCAGGAGGTGCACACAGGAGGGCCAGGGTGCAAATAGGAACAAGAGTCTTTGGGAACCCCAAACAGCACAGAAGTAATAAAAAGCGCCAGCATTTGGGGAACAGCCACTTACCCCGCTGTCCTGCGGAAGGAAGGCAGGGACCTGCCCTTCGCAGCCGCGGGCGGGACTGTCCCGACCCCGCAGGGGTGGGGAGGATCCGCCGAGCCCAGGAAGGGGGCGGGGCGGGGCAGCCGCAGTGACGCGGCGGGGAGGGACGGCAGGGGCGCCGGCGGGCGGACCGGGAAAAAGGTCGGGGCCATGGGACGGCGTTTCGCCTCCAGAAGGTCCGGCCTCTGCTGCAACCCGAGACCGGGGTTGTGCAGGGTCCGGGCTCCGACCCGCGGGGCGGCTGCCCCTGCCCGGGCCGGGTGAGGGGCGCCGGCCCTAAGCTAGAGGTGAGCGAGGACGTCGGCGAGCCGGCGGGCCAAGAGCACGGCGGGGAACTGGTGCGCCCGGGAGCTGAGGGAAGTGGGGACGACCGGGCCTCTCGCCGGCTCGCTGGGTGCGAGATGGAAGTGGGAGGGGTGTCTGCAGGGGAACCGGGGCGCCCGGCCCGGGTGCAGGTGGACGGAGCGGGTCCCCAGGGCCGAGGCCTGTGGGATACCAGTTGACCACTCTTGCCCCGGCCTGAGGAGGGGCTACCCCTGGGGGACGATGACAGGGTGGAGAGTCGATGCGGGCCGGGGGTACCAGAAGGATGCTGGGCAGCAGAGGTCGAGGATCCGGCCGCCGGCCGAGGTGGGGAAGGCTGGTCTGGGGGGCGAAGGGTTATCTGTCCTGGAAGGTAGGCTCGGGTGCGGGGGGTGGGGAACACTGGCCGGGATGCGGGGCGCATTGGGGTCGCTCCGCAGAGAAACACCCGGGGACAAGGATCTAGGTGGACATCCAGGAATGGGGGACAACGGACCAAGTGGACTCCGGGGAAAAGGGTGAAGGGGGCGGGTCCCCAAGGGGCCAGTTGTGGAAGGTGGGCCCGTAAGTAGGGACCCGGGGACTCCTACGGGTGCGGCCCTGAGGGATGCTGTTTTCTTGGGGGCTCTGGATGTGGCCCAAGTGGAGACATGAGGCTGGCCCTGCGGCCCGGGCTGTAGCCCGCCGCTCTGGGGGGCCCGCGTCAGCGCGCGGTTGCCATGGAGACAGGCGGGCGGGGGGCGGGGGCTGCGTGGAAAAGAGGTCAGCGCTCAGCCTCGCTGCGGCTCCCGGCCCTGGCGGCGCGGGCGGCAGCGCTGGGCTCGCCTCTGCCTTCCCGGTGGCGGGCCCGGGAATGGGGTCCCGAGGCTCGGGCCCCTCGGCCGGCGCGCAGGGCTCAGGGCCGCGCGCCACCGCCCCCCACTGACGGCCGCGCTGTGCCTGCGCCAGGAGCAGAGGAGGCCGCGCGCGGCCAGCTGGGCGCCTTCAGGATGCTCATCAAGGAGTACCACATCCTGCTGCCCATGAGCCTGGACGAGTACCAGGTGGCTCAGCTCTACATGATCCAGGTGAGGGCCGTGGGGAGGGGGAGACCAGGGGGCCATACATCATGATGGGTAACGGTGGGAGTGTGCAGGCCGCGTCTGGGACAAGGGGTCTAGCCCAGCTCCATCCCCGCCAGACTTGCACCTTGGCTGGGAAGGGTTCAGAGCCCAGAAGAGGAAGGTCCTCTTCCGATGCAGGTGTGGGGGCGGGTAAATGGACAGGACGGTGAGTGGTGTCTCCCACCCTCTAAGTGCCCAGCCTGCTCAACCCATTTGAGCTCCTTTAATCCTCCTCAGAATCTAATCCCATGGGGGAAGGGAAAGGAGCCATGAGGAGGCATGGGGGGTCTACATGGAAGAGAAGGCAGGAAGGGGTTCTAGAGAGGGTACCTCCCTAACTGACAGGGACTGGCAGGCAGGGATGGAGTGTGAGGGTGGGATCTGGGCTTTGGCTGTGAGGAGGGTGGGCCTGGACAGGGAGAAGATGGTACCAGGCTCAAGGGATCTGTGTTCCAAGTCTGTTCCCCAGCACTGTGGGATCAGAGTCTAGGGGGGCAAGGCAGCCAGGATCCAGCTCAGCCGGCTGAGCGTCCAAGTTTGGGCTCTACAACTATAAAAGAGCAGGATCTGGGGTCTCAAGCCTTGAGGGGTGTGGCAGGAACTAGGATTCTGGTCTCCCAGAGGAGGGGACCAAGGTCAGGTCCTCTAAGAGGTGGAGGCCACTTTTCCAGCCAGCCTGGCCTCCTTGCCACTCCTTGAGCAGGAAGAGCATGTTTGACCTCAGAGCTTGCCTCGTCCCCCAGCCTCAAATACTTCCCCCAGCCCACAGCTGCAGAGCACCCCCCACCTCAGATCATGTTCAAGTGGTGGTCACATTGCCCTCTAGCAAGGCCTCCCTTGACCCTCATATCAACATTGCAGCCCCAACTCTTGGTCTCTCTCAGGCTTTCTGTTTCCCATCCTGCTTGTTCCACATGGGCAGGGGTCTTGGGTTTGTTCATTAGTAGACCCCAACTGATCCCAAGCAATGAATGGCTGTTTTGAATGCTGGGCAGTGCCTGTGATCATGATCATGAACCCAGGAAGCTGCTGGGGGCCAGGGTCAGGTTGCAGAGAGTTGGAAAGACTATGCAGGGGGTCAGAACTGAGCTGGGGTCCCCACCCAGGAGCAAGGCCAAGACTGAGTCTCCAATTCTGCTCTGTCCTGGCTGCAGAAAAAGAGTCGGGAGGAGTCCAGTGGTGAGGGCAGCGGTGTGGAGATCCTGGCCAACCGGCCCTACACTGATGGGCCCGGGGGGAGCGGGCAGTACACACACAAAGTGTACCATGTGGGCTCCCACATCCCAGGCTGGTTCCGGGCACTGCTGCCCAAGGCCGCCCTGCAGGTAGAGGAGGAGTCTTGGAATGCATACCCCTACACCCGAACCCGGTGAGTGGACAAGGCACACAGGCTGGGGTCAACAGGGAACAGCCCTGGTGGATCCAGTAATGACCCTCACCTTGGCTTCTGCCCAGGTACACCTGCCCCTTCGTGGAGAAATTCTCCATTGAAATAGAAACCTATTACCTCCCTGATGGGGGGCAGCAGCCAAACGTCTTCAACCTAAGTGGAGCTGAGAGGAGACAGCGCATCCTCGGTGAGGCTTGGAGTCCCTCTTACCCCCGCTGCCACCTCAATTTCCAGTCTCTTGACAAGTGCAAGTTTTCTCTGGGCCTTGGCTTCCCGTCTGTGAAAGGCTGTGATCGTGATCCTAATCCCTGGGGAAGGCGGGGGTGGCTTGAAGGGGCTGGCTCGGCTCAGTGCTCACTGAACCCCCTCAGACACCATCGACATTGTGCGAGATGCAGTGGCTCCAGGTGAATACAAAGCTGAAGAGGACCCCCGGCTGTACCGTTCAGTCAAAACAGGCCGAGGGCCATTGACTGATGACTGGGCGCGGACAGCCGCCAAGACGGGACCCCTCATGTGTGCCTACAAGCTGTGCAAGGTGGAGTTCCGATACTGGGGCATGCAGGCCAAGATCGAGCAGTTCATCCATGATGTTGGTGAGCACTTGCCTGAGGGAAGTTCTGCTTACCCAGCATGCACCAGGCCCTATGTTTGGGGGATGCTGTCATCTACTGGGGACACAAAACCATGGGAGCATCATTTCCATATGAGATGGAACACTGAGGTAGGCAGAGGTTGGGGGTGACAGCACAGCTCAGGAAAGGGGTCAGGGGAGCCTGTCTTGAATATCGGAGTCAGGTGCTGTGGCACATGCCTGTAATCTCAGTGGCTCAAGAGACTGAAGTAGGAGGATCATGAGTTCAAAGCCAGCTTCAGCATCTTAGCAAGGCCCTAAGCAACTTAAGAGACCCTGTTTCAAATAAAATATAAAAAAAGGGCTGGGGATGTGGCTCAGTGGTTAAGCACCCCTGGGTTCAGGAGGGCAAGGAGCTGGTGACATGGTCTGAGATCTATGCCAGCTCTGACAATCAAATATGCTTCTTCTTTAATGAAGATTTTAAGATTCTGTGTTGTCCTGTGAGTCAAGCAAGACTTAGAGAATCTCAGGAGGACTGCCAGCCCATTCTCTTTGGGGTGCCCTCCCACCCCCCAGCTCCCAGAATCCCAGTTTGTGGTCCTGGCATCCA